TGAGATGGAGTCTCGCTCTGTCACCCAGGCTGGAATACAGTGGCGTGATCTCAGCTCACTGCAAGCTCTGCCTCCCATGTTCACGCCATTCTCCTGCCTCAGCCTCCTGAGTGGCTGGGGCTACAGGCGCCTGCCACCACGCCTGGCTAATTGTTTTGTATTTTTAATAGAGATGGGGTTTCACTGTGTTAGCCAGGATGGTCTCGATGTCCTGATCTTGTGATCCACCTGCCTCGGCCTCCCAAAGTGCCGGGATTACAGGCGTGAGCCACCCACCCCGGGCCGGCCGGGTTGCTGACCGTTCAGTGGTTTCCCAGCATCTCTGCAGAGGGAGCCGCAGGCCCAGCGTTCTCAGAAAAACCTGATGAGCCTGGCTGCCTCTGGCTGTGCTTTCCCCCACTCTCCTGCTCTCTCAGCGTGTGCTTGCCTTTCTCTCCTGGGCAGCCTCCCAGGCCTTACTGGTTCTCTTTCGTTCCTCTTTGTCATGGGGGTGGAACAGCCCTGAATCCCGGAACCACTGCCCTGACCCCCACGGACCCCACAGCAGCCCTTGTGGCCGAGAGCGTGCCCTGAGTGCCCAGTGCCTGAACCGGATCGGGGAGCCCACAGGGTCAGGAAGCCCCCAGGCCTCAGGTGAATGCTTCTGGGGCCGGGAAAGTAACCAGACAGACTGAATCCATACATGCCGAGCATCCAGGCCAGAGGAGGGCAGAAAGCTCTAGGCAGCGCCCCCCACCCAGGACCCCAGCGTTCCTCCGTCTTGTTGATTTCTCCCTCAGGCAGCCCAAAACACACATCCAGGGTGGGGAGGGTGGGGCTGCAGGGGCAGACCAGAGGAAGGAGACTTGGAGTCGCTTAGCGAAGGTGAATGAGCATCCGTGGTGCAGCTTGGGGTCTTGGAGAGTATGTTGAACCTACCAGGTGTCTGTTTCCCCTGACACATGCACAGACCAGGCAAGGACCTGGAAGGCAGGAGGCTGCCAGGCAAAGCGCCCACCGGTCACTTGGTACCGTGAGCTACGCATGTGAGTGACGTGCACCCTGACTGCTGGCTCTTCCCTTAGCGCTTACACGTCATTGAGTGATAAATAAAAGGTCCTGAATGGACCGTCTGGAATTTTTAAGTCATCCCTTTTTCTTCCTTTCTTCCTTTTTTTTAAAAAATAAAAACAAAAACAAAAAACTTTCTATGAAATCGCCCAGTGCTTTGGTTTAATCCCCAGAGGACTGGTTTCCCTAAGAGGAGCCCACCTAAGTCACCGAGAACTCTAAAACCGCTAAACCAGGCCACGGGGCCCGCATTCAACAGGGGAGCACTTTGCACCCAGTAAAATCCAACTGAAAAAATGCGGGGCTTGGTCCTCCCCACTCCCCAGTATCTGGTCCCAGCCCGTCCACGACCCCCATCTCCTCCCCTGAGACACTGCCTAGGCAGCCGGGGGCCTCCCACGGAAGCCTGAGCAGCTGTCTTGCTTGCCCTTCCCTCTGTGCTGTGGTGCGTGTTCTTTACCTGGAGGCCTGTAAGGTGTTGTGAGCTGTGCTGATCTTGTGACAAACACTCGGTGACCTTGAATGAGTCACTCATTTCTGGACCTCGGCTTCTTTCAGCATAGCATGGGCTGGAATAATGTCCTCCAGCTTCCTAGCTTATGGGTGGACCCATTCATGCATCAGTCACACAGATAAATATTGCACGGCCTCGCTGGGCGCGGCAGCTCACGCCTGTAATCCCAGCACTTTGGGAAGCCGAGGCAGGTGAATCACGAGGTCAGGAGATCGAGAGCATCCTGGCTAACACGGTGAATCCCCATCTCTACTAAAAATACAAAAAATTAGCTGGGCGTGGTGGCAGGCGCCTGTAGTCCCAGCTACTCAGGAGGCTGAGGCAGGAGAATGGCATGAGCGGCAGAGCTTGCAGTGAACTGAGATCACGCCACTGCACTCCAGCCTGGGCGACAGAGCAAGACTGCGTCTCAAAAAAAAAAAAAAAAAAATTATTGCATGGCCCCTCTCCACTGCACACTGTGCCGGGGTCAGAGCTTTCGAGCCGACTTGAGTGAGCTACCCTGAGATCCCTGGATCCTGAAGTTAATTCTCTTTTTGCCCATTAGGATTGGATGGCTCCAATCTCAGCATTCTGCCCCTGGGTCCCTTCCCTCTTCACGGACGCGATGGAGGGAGGCAGTTGCCATGGTGCCATGGGCCCTGATGGGGCATAGGGAGGCCTCAGTCCCGTCTGACTCAAGAGCTAGTCCAGCCCCAGGTTTGCCTAGACCCTTCCCTTCTCCGAGATGGGTGTTCCGTGGAACCTTAATCTATCCACCTAACTCTTGTTTTCTGTGTCTCTGAAGTGAGGATTGGAAGGTTTCGATGGCTACCCCCAGTGCTGAGAACTGGTTCACTTTGGTGCCAGGGGACTTGCCCCCTTCGCCTCTAGCTGTGCCAGCTACACAGTCTTTTCCTAATGGCACCGCCCTGTGCTTTTGCCGACTTCGGGGCTGTTCATTATGTACGCTGGTCTCCAGCTCATTCTCTACCAAATGTTTTTGGCCCGTCATTCTACACTTCATTTTACTGTTTCTTTTTTTAATTGAGGTGAAATTCACCTCATGTAAAATTAACCATGTTAAAGAGTACCATTCACAACTCAATAGATGCCCAGTGCCATGCAACCACCACGTCTGTCTAGTTCCAAAACGTCTTTATCACGCCACGAAGAGACCCCACACCCAATAGCAGTCACTTCCCATCCTCTCCTCTCCCCATCCCCTGGCAACCATCAACCTGCATTCTGTCTCAATGGATTGAAAGATCCTGGACATTTCATCAAATGGAATCGTGCGGTGCGGGGACTTCGGGTCAGGCTTCCTTCACTTTGCATCCATCGTGTTTTGAGATTCGTCCATCTGGTAGTAGGTGTGGGGGCTTTGTTCCTTTCTATGGCTGAATCCTGCTCCATGGTGCAGAGAGTCCTTTGGTTTATCCACTCAGTGCTGGGCGTTTGCCTTGTTCACGGCTTTGGCTGTTGTGACTGTTGCGCTAGGAGCATGTGCCTGCAGGTATCTGTTAAGACACCTGTTGTCTGTTCTCTTGGGTCAATGCCTGGGGACAGAGTTGCTGGCTCATGCGGTGACTCTGTGTGTAACTTTTGGAGGAGCCCCTGACCGTGTGGATGTTTTCAGCTGAGAGCACTGAGAGTTTTGCGCTTTGCCTTTCAAGTTCTCTAGGAAGCAGGCCACCAGCACGCCTGCTTACACAGTCTCCTCTGCATCCATATCTCCAGTTGACCAAGGTCGTTTTGAATTCTCCTGCCACCCTCCCAAGACTTGGCCACCTGCCAACTTGGTTTCCTCTGCACACTTAGTGAGCACGTTTCCTATCCTGTCATTTAAGCCGCTTACGAAGCGTTAAATGCACCAGGCCCCAGGCCGATCCCGCTCCAGCAGCCAGTTTGTCCTGACATGCTCTCCATGCTTGCAGCTGGCCTTCTCTGTGTCCCTTTGGGTCCCCCAGAGCCACAGGGTCACACGAGACCAGAGTGTGCTTGTGATGGGGATGCAGAGATCTCCAAAGAAGAGCTCCAGGGCTCTCCTGGTGGGTACAAGGCCATGGCTGTCTCCCCTGTGACTCCCTGGCACAGCTTGTGTGGCACCATCAAGGGTGGAGAGAGGGACACGGTCAGCTTGGTGCAGCAGTAGAAGTGGCACTGGCACTTCGGTTTCTTAAAAGCACGAGGATGAGGCCGGGCGTGGTGGCTCACGCCTGTAATCCCAACACTCTGGGAGGCCAAGGCAGGCGGATCACGAGGTCACGAGATGGAGACCATCCTGGCTAACAC